GTCAGCGCATGCTGAAGCGCACAGTGCAGAGAAGTCGCCAACTGTCTGCAGAGTCAATAGAAGGGGGGTGGAGTGGGGGATTTTTTTTTTTTTTTTTTTTTTTACACTGTCCCTTTCTTTTCTTTTTTTATGGTCACTTTTATTGTTATCACAGGGCATGTCAATATCCCCTGTGATAGCAATAGGCAGTGACAGGTATTCTTTTCTGAGAATGTTGGGGTCTATTAGACTCTAGATCTCTTCTCTGTCTTTAAAGCATCTGATCTCACCAAAATCGCATGTTATCAGAAAACACTGGCAGACAATTTACATTCTTCTTCGTGAAAGCTGCACATGGGACTCTCTTGGACTTTCCAACATGACAATGACTCCAAGCACAAGGCCAAGTTGATCCTCCAGTGTTTGCAGCAGAAAAGGTGAAGGTTCTGGAGTGGCCATCACTTTCCTGACCTTAATATCATTGATGCACTGTAGGGGGAATTTTAAACATGAGGTTCATGCAAGACGACCAAAGACTTTGCATGACCTGGAGGCATTTTGCCAAGACGAATGGGCAGCTATACCACCTGCAAGAATTCAGGACCTCCTAGACAACTGTTACAAAAGACTGCACACTGTCATTGATCCTACAGGGGGCACTACACAGTATTGAAAACTAAGGGTGTGCAGGCTTTTGATCAGGGCTCATGTTAATTGTTTCCTTGTTGCCATGTTTTACTTTAAGATTGTGCCGTTCTGTTATGACCTCCAATTGATTATGAATCCCATAAGAAATACAAGAAATGTGTTTTGCCTGCCCAGTCATGTTTTCTTTAAAATTGGTACATTTTTATTACCAATTCACCAAAGGTATGCAAATTTTTGTGCACAACTGTACATTTCAAATAACCTACCACCATGTTTTTCTGGAGTGTGGGAGGAACCCAGAGTACCAGTACCCATAGGAAACCCGCACAGGGAGAACATACAAACTCTGTGCGGTTAGTGTTGTGGTTGGTATTCAAACCAATAACCCTTGGGCTGCCAGCCGAAAGTGCTAGCCAAGATGCCAAGTGCCAGTTGTCTCTTTATTTGATAACCTGTATCTGCATTCCCAAATTTTGGGCAACTGTAGTATGCCGTTACTGAATGCCAAACGTTTTCTTCTAAGAACTGCCCTCAGTCCATTCCACAGTAGAAAAAAAGAGATGTTAGGTACCCAACTGAGAAGAACCCTTTGATGCTCTGGGGTGGTATTCTTCAGTAGAACCACTTCGTAACTCGGGAAGCTGCACACTGTGACTCCCTAGGGGGCTTGGGGGGTGGGTTGCAGCAATAGGTTCTTAAGTATTTGATGGTGAGTGGGGGGAGAGAGTGCTAAGATGCATCTATCCTGTGTGCGTTTTGGGGATGGACCATCAGCAATGGGGGTCAGTAGAAGGTCCATGTGGAGGTGGTGTCCAAGTCCATCTGTAGTGGGGGGCTTATAGAAGTATGGACTTGTCCCAGGAGGCAGCCGGTTTTAAGAGCTTGTAGATACTACCTAATGCAGGTAGAAAAGAGAGACAGCAGCGCCATTCTAAGTGTAGACGGTTAAAATCAGGCAGATTTAATGGTAAAATTGGTAGGTAATAGGTAGGCATGTCAAGTAATGAAAAAATGCTGAAAAACTCACGTTTTTAATGTGACTTTACATCTGTCGTTACCAGCGTTCTCAAAATGCCCCGTGTGCATGGAGCCATACTGCAATTATTACTTTGTTGAAAACAATGTGCTAGGGTTTTAAGAGTTTGCTTTATTATCATACATGATTTGTGGAACATAAGAAAACCATAAAAGTCCCTTTTCCCGAAAATGACCAAGCCTTTTATAATAATATCTAATTAGTAGCAAATGAAGGCGAAAAACACCAAAAAGTACTGAATGCATAATAACAAATTACAGATCTATAATCGTGTATTGTACCATAGACTTCTGGCACACAAACTATTATTTCAGAGACTTTTTATGCTTCCCTAAAAGCGTTTTCATTTGTATGGTCTACAAAAACTCGTTGTTGGTTTCCTTAACCCCTTTGCGCCAGAACCTCCTGGCCCTTTAAGTGGTTTCAGGAGGTGGGGCGGGGTTTTTAGGGTCATGTGACCACCGTGGTTCTCTGTCACAGCGGTCACATGATTGGAAAAGATCCAGATCGCAAGGAGAGATCGGGACCTTTCCGTGAGTCACGGACATATGTGCTGGGAGTGCACAGGGCGCGCGCTCTCAGCACATATGTATTTTCAAATGGTACGCAAATATGCGGCCGCTTGGCGTCGAGGCCCAGACGCAGAGAGGCCGCATATTTGTGTGTGCTCGGCATCTAGGGGTTAAAGTCTATGGCAAGTCAAAACCTAACTAAGCTGAAATCTTCTCCCACCTCGTTCCAAATCTACCCTGTAAAAGGAAAGATGCCTTTAAGTACCTACTGTATTCTGAGGTTGCTAAGGTCTGGTCACATAATCGGGTCCCAGCCTCAATGTAGAGGAGGGACAGCTGACAACGCATGCCCCATAGTAAGCCTATAGGTGTCATCAGCGCCCGGGTTCATGCAGTCATTGTCGGCGATCTATCCTGTACACTGAAGCCGGTGCTGGAGAAATCATGCGACCGGATTGGAGCAATGGAGCTTCATACAAAATACAAAGGGACTAGTCAATCATGACAAACCACTGAGCTGGCCAGAACCAACTCTTGAGGGAGTTCATTCCACATTTTAACAGCTCTCACTGTGAAGAAGCCTTTCCATGTTTGAAGATTAAATCTCTTTTCCTCCAGACCTAAAGAGTGCCCCCTTGTCCTATGTAAAGACCTTACAGTGAATAACTCCGAGTTCACTATATGGACCACCTATGTAGTTATACATGTTGATTATATCCCCCCTTAATCTCCTCTTCTCAAGAGAGAATAAATTCCGTTCCTCTAATCTTTCCCCATAGCTGAGCTCTTCCATACCTCTTATCAGTTTGGATAAAATAATCAACAATAAAACCCTGCACCAATGAAACTAAATAACAAAAATCAAAAAACTAAGCTGCCACCCCAAAGTGATTAAAAACCACCATGAATATATATTAAAAAAACCTCTGTAGGGGGCGCTATCTACCTCAAGCGAAGTAGTTTGATTAAACCAATCTCAAAGTGCACAGACACATGCAGTTAATATCCATTAGTAATCATAATCAGTCCATTAAAATGTACAATAATTTATGTTTATATGCACAATGATACTGTTTATATAGAGTGTCCCATAGATCATCCTATTGGATCCATATGAGACTGTGATTCCGCACTGTGGTTAGGTGTACTTCTCCTTCACCGTGACATATCCATAAATCACCCAGTGGTATGGCATTACTAAATGACTCGCCACATGTACATGACATTAATTAAAAAGAAGGTCAACTGCGCTTGTCTGTATCTCTGTTTGAGTAGAGAGACGCTTGTCTTGTGATGAATGCTCCAAGCTCCTCTTAGGCTTCCACAATACACACACTGGACCCAACGATAGAAATCGCATATAGTGTATTATGTTTATTAAAAGATGACTAAAACAAAGGTAAAATAATCACATAGTAAAGTGCCTACACATCGGCACTAGATGTAGCAGCATGTGACTAAAAAACTAACATCGCCGTGTCCCGGCATGCGTTCCAGCACCAGGAAGTGCCATAATCGGAAGTCAGCGACCGTAAGTCCCGACTCACTTACCCTTCTCTGCACTTTCTCCAGTTCCCCAATGTTCTTTTTATGAATTGGTGCCCAAAACTGAACTGCATATTCCACATTCTTACTAATGATTTAGGTCTTACTAATGATTTGTACAGGGGTAATATATCTGTCTCTCTGGAGTCTATACCTGTTGTGTTTACACTATTTGAATTATTATTATTTCTGTGTGACCATTACTTGTTTATCATTGCTCTGTGTCTTTAAGCTGCCTCCTTCTTTCTAAGCTGAGCTCTTTCTCTTACCGTACTTGTGTATACTCCTCCCCTCTGCCTCTCTCTGTTATCATTCCACTGTATCCTGTCTTCCTGAATGCATCTTTCCATGAAGCTACAACATTAAGGTTTTTCTAACTATGAATATTTGTCATTAAACGGAAAATTTGTATGGGTTTCCTCAACGTGTGATATATCCATTGAGTTAAACTATCTGACCAGATACAAGTGATAAATTCAACACCACGTGATATAGCTGTATACATGGCGGGAGTTAAAGTTTATCGTCCTGTAGTTGAGTCAGGATATAACCTCTTTTAATACAAGAGAGGATTTTGCTCGCTTTAGAAACCTCAGCTTGGCATTGCATGCCATTATTGAGCTTGTGATCTACCAGAACTCCCAGATCCTTCTTCACCATTGATTCCCCCAGTTGTACCCCCCCCCCCAGTATGTATGATGCATGCATATTCATAGCCCCTGAGTGCATCACCTTACATTTATCAACATTAAACCTCATTTACCACATAGTTGCCCAATTAAACAGAGCATTGAGGTCGGCTTGTAAATTGGAGAACATCCTGTAAGGTCGTTATTCCTCTGCACAGCTTGTTGTCATCTGCAATGACTGAAATGGGATTTATAATCCTAGACCCTATATCGTTTGTAAATATATTAAAAAGTAAGGGTCCAAACACTGAACCTTGGGGTACCCCACTGACAACTCTAGACCATTGAGTATAAATCATTAACCACTACTCTCTGAAGAACCACACAAACCAGTAGGATTATAACTTTTTTTTTTTTTTCTATGATTGAACTGGATGGACTTTTGTCTTTTTTCAGCCAGACTAACTATGTAGCTATGTAGTAGGCAGACTGCCGGTGGGGCTTTATTTAACTGACCTAACTGAAGGGTGGATCTTGGAAATGTACCCTTTTTAGTGTATTTCAAATGGTGGAGATATGAAATATCGTGTAATTTTGTGTGTCATGGATTATTGACGCAAACTAGAATTTCTTTTTACTTTTTTCACATAGGCAATTGAAAAAGTTGAGTGAGGAAAACTTGAATAAACAGCCTGAAGAAGTTTTTGATGTGCTGGAGAAACTCGGAGAAGGGTGAGCATCACATAATATACTTTTTTTCAGTTTTATAAAAATCTATAACTTGAGAGGAGACATGTAACAGTTTTAAAAATTTTCCTTCTAAAGGGGGTCCATGGTTGAAAGATGTTTTATATGCATTGCAAACCTCCAGCGACAAGATCTCCCTGCCATGGTTTTGGTTCTGTATCCACTTATAATAGTTTTGGGTTTTCATGCCCACCTTTTGGGTGTTCCCACTGCTCCTCCTTGTGTAAAATAAAATGGCAAACAATCCAACAAAACTATTTTGTTCCAGGCAATGATCAAGCACTGGAGATCTCGCCACCAGTGTCCTTTGGCGATATAAGACCTGCTGCCCTGGCAAGCTAGCCTAAATATTTGTAGATACAAGAACGTACTTTATCAATTAGGTAAAAAAAAAAAAAATGTTTAATTAATTGTTACTCAGGGTAGTACTATATGACAGGTTCACATATAGCTGTCATTGCTGGGGGTTAGATAAAATTAACCACTTGAGCTCCAGAGGATTTACCCCCCTTAATGACCAGGCCTCTTAAACTGAAAATGTTTTTCAGTCAGATATGCAATCCCTTTTATAATAAAAACTTGAAATACAATCACAATTTCTCCTTCAGGTCCTATGGCAGTGTTTACAAAGCCAGTCATAAAGAAACAAGCCAGATTGTGGCTATTAAGCAGATTCCAGTTGAGTCGGATCTTCAAGAAATCATTAAGGAAATCTCCATTATGCAGCAATGTGACAGGTAAAGTCGTTTTATGTATGCATGTAATGTATCTTTAAAAATAGAACTCATTCTTTAGGAATTGTCATTTGATTTTAGAATGGTATTAATGTACATCAGAGCAGCAGATTATAATTTTTAATTGAACCTTTACTTTCCCATATGGACTTAACTCTGCAAGTCTGTATGCATACATTCTTGACATTACAAAATCTATAGGAACAGTATTATTTAAACTTACCATTTTAACAATAAGAAGATTTCTTTACGCTCAAGTGAAGGGACTGTGTCTAAGCGTGGTCTCCCAAGAGTTTCCTTATAGGAATACGCTGGAAGAGTTATGTAATCAGTCTGCTGAAGACAGGCTGCATTTTCTTGCTCTTCCCTTCTATAGTGATCACTCTGTCCCTTGTAGTGTTCTTCAGCTTTAAGGTTACTAAATACAAGTCCATCTAGCCTAGTATAAGAACTACAGATACACTATATTGCCAAAAGTATTGGACCAGCCCTCCATATCATTGGTTTAATGTTCTGATCTTCTCCATGGCCACAGGTGTATAAAATCATCACCTAGGCATGCAGACTGCTTCTACAAACATTTGTAAAAGAATGGATCGCTCTCAGGAGCTCAGTGAATCCAAGCGTGGTCCCGTGATTGGTTGCCACCTGTCCAATAAGTCCATCTGTGACATTTCCTGGCTACTAAATATTCCACGGTCACCTGTTAGTGGTATTATAACAAAGTGGAAGCAACTGGGAACAACAGCAACTCAGCCACCAAGTGGTAGGCCATGTAAAATGACAGAGCGGGGTCAGCACATGCTGAAACGCACAGTGAGCAGAAGTCGCCAACTGTCTGCAGAGTCAATAGCTAAAGATCTCCAAACTTCATGTGGACTTCAGATTAGCACAACAACAGTGTGTAGAGAGCTTCATGGAATGGGTTTCCATGGCTGAGCAGCTGCATCCAAGCCTTACATCACCAAGTGCAATGCAAAGCGTTGTGATGCCGTGGTGTAAAGCATGCCGCCACTGGACTCTAGAGCACTGGAGATATGTTCTCTGGAGTTACGATTCACTCTTCTTTGTCTGGCAATCCGATGGATGTGTCTGGGTTTGCCGATTGCCAGGAGAATGATACTTGCCTGACTGCATTGTGCCAAGTGTACAGTTTGGTGGAGGGGGGATTATGGGGTGGGGTTGTTTTTCAGTGGTTGGGCTTGTTCCCTTATTTCCAGTGAAGGGAACTCTTAAGGCGTCAGCATACCAAGACATTTTGGACAATTTCATGCTCCCAAATGTATGGTAACAGTTTGGGGATGGCTCCTTCCTGTTCCAACATGACTGCCAGTGCACAAAGCAAGGTCCATAAAGACCTAAAGGAATTAGAGCAGAGATTGCAAGCCAGGCCTTCTCGTCCGACATCAGTGGATGAATGGTCAAACCTTCCCATAGACACACTCCTAAACCTTGTAGAGAGTCTTCCCATAAGATTTGAAGCTGTTATAGCTGCAAAGGGCGGGGCCAACTCAATATTGAACCCTACGGACTAAGACTTGGATGCCAATAAAGTTCATGTGCGTGTAAGGGCAGGCGGCCCAATACTTTTGGCAATATAGTGTAGTTCTCCAAAAATGTGCTGGTAAAGGTAATAATAAACAAATATTGCATCCATAAAGACTTCACAGCAGACCCTTTTATGGAACCAGATATACAGGCTCTTGCAGTGGTTGGCACAATTTACACGGTATTCAGCGTAAAAGAAAATAAGTAGTTGGTTAAGTGTTTTAGAAAGGGCCACATTCAGGTAATACCAAGTACGGGAAACCCACTGATAGGGACAGAGAATCCCAAGAAGTGCAGGTTCAGTGATATCTCAGTTTAGTAAAGATCTCATATAAGCAGAGAAAGATAGTAGACCACATTCTGTAAGTACAACTATGGCTAGTGTCTGCATAGTAAAGGTACAAATACTGTCATGTGTTTCAGAGTTTATAGATTTTTGGCCATCCGAAGATGTTTGAAAGTTATCACTCTTCCAGTTAAAAAATTAAAACTTAAGGAACATACTGCAGTAGGCCAATCATGCATCCAAAGCATAATTAATATTTTTTTTTTTAGAATAGGGATTTTGGTCAAAGAAAGCATCATTGGATTGATTGTATTTCTTCCTTACTGTATTGTTGGGTCATCTAGGCTGATGAGCATAAAATCTGGTGGAGTCCAGGCGGAAACAGTCATTCAAACAGATTTCATCTGAAGGGTACACCCATGTGTTCTCAGAGAGCTGAGCTCAGTTATTTCAAAACTATTGTTTCTAATTTTTAGAGACTCTTTAATGATTGACTTGGTACCACTGGATTGGTGTGGGGCTGACTGTGGTGCCTATATTTAAAAAAGGATCAAAATCTACAAAGTAACCATTGACCATTTACAGTTCCTTGAAAAAGTATTCATATTTTTCAAGCCACTGAAATTTCCACATTTTGTCACGTTACAACCAAAAATGTAAATGTATTTTATTGGGATTTTATATGATAGACCAGCACAAAGTGGCACATAATTGTGAAGTGGAAGGAAAATGATAAATGGTTTTAAAATTTTTTTACAAATAAATATCTGATAAGTGTGGCGGCATTTGTATTCAGCCCCCGAGTCAGTACTTTGTAGAGGCACCTTTCTCTGCGATTACAGCTGCAAGTCTTTCTGGGGATGTCTCTACCAGCTTTGTACATCTAGAGAGGGACATTTTTTGCCCATTCTTTGCAAAATAGCTCAAGCTTTGTCAGATTGGATGGAGAGCGTCTGTGAACAGCAATTTTCAAGTCTTGCCCAGATTCTCAGTTGGATTAGGTTTGGACATTGACTGGGCCATTCTAACACATGAATATGCTTTGATCTAAACCATTCTATTGAAGCTCTGACTGTATGTTTAGGGTCGTCCTGCTGGAAGGTGAACCTCCACCCCAGGATGGGGATGGTGTGTTCAGGGTGATGTGCAATGTTAGTTTTACACCACACATGGCACTTTGCTTTTAGCACAAAAAGTTCAATTTTGATCTCATCTGACCAGAGCACCTTCTTCCACATATTTTCTGTGTCCTCCACTTGGCCTCTTGCAAACTGTAAACGGGACTTCTTATAGTTTTCTTTCAACAATGGCTTTCTATATGCCACTCTCCCATAAAGGCCAGATTTGTGGAGTGCACGACTAATCATTGTCCTGTCGACAGATTCTCCCACCTGACCTGTGGATTTCTGCAGCTCCTCCAGAGTTACCATGGCCCTCTTGGCTGCTTCTCTGATTAATGCTCTCCTTGCCCAGCCTGTCAGTTTAGGTGGATGGCCATGTCTTGGTAGGTTTGCAGTTGTGCCATACTCTTTCCATTTTCGGTTGATGGATTGAACAGTGCTCTGTGAGATGTTCAAAGCTTGGGATATTTTTGTTATAACCTAACCCTGCTTTAAACTTTTCCACAATTTTATCCCTGACCTCCCTGGTGTGTTTCTTGGCCTTCATGATGCTGTCTGTTTACTAATGTTCTCTAAAAAACCTCTGAGGGCTTCACAGAACAGCTGTATTTATACTGAGATTAAATTACACATAGGTGGTCTCTATTTACTAATTAGGTGACTGCTGAAGGCAATTGGTTCCACTAGATTTTCATTAGGGGTATCAGAGTAAAGGGGGCTGAATACAAATGCACGTCACACCTTTTCAAATATTTATTTGTACAAAATGTTGAAAACCATTTATCATTTTCCTTCCACTTCACAATTATGTGCCACTTTGTGTTGGTCTATCACATAAAATCCCAATAAAATTCATTTATGTTTTTGGTTGTAACATGACAAAATGTGGAAACTTTCAAGAGGTATGAATACTTTTTCAAGGCATTGTACCTTCTATAGTTGGGAAGATACTTGAGAATTTGATAAAAGGAAACATAGAAGAGATTTTGCTAGAATACCGTATTCTACACAATAACATGGATTCACAAAAGACCGACGTTGTAAAACAAATCTGCTTTCTTTTTTTTTTTTTTTTTTTTTTTTTTTGAGGAAGTAAGCAAAAACTTTGGAAAAGTCCAAGTATACTATATCCACAGCCACTCATTTGTCTACGTGTTTGACACAGGATCCCACACACGGCTAATGTATAAGTTAAAGCCTAAAGGAGTGGAAATATTTAGTCTGTAAATGGAAAGAAAACTGATTTAAAGTCTGTATTCAGAGAGTAGTGATGAATGATTCATCCTTTGATCGTCTAAGGTCATTAGTAGTGTACCCCAAGGTTTTTTATTTTTTTATTTTTTTTATTTTTATACATTTAGATATGATTTAGAGTTTGGGACTAAATGTACCATTTAAGTGTTTGCAGTGGAATCGCGTCCTTACAGGATTTCTCAAATTTATACGCTGACCTGAATGCACTGTTTGATTGAGAATTGTGTGTAAATGAGGTTTAATGTTGTTAAAGTTATTCACTTGGGGGCTAAAACATGCTTGCATCATTGACTCTAGAGGGAGTACAACTGGAAGAGTCAATAATAGATCTAAGTGTTCTGGTAGATCATAGACTTAAAGAAGAATCCTCTCTATTTTTTACATTATTCATTCCATATGAGTACATGTAGTGCTTCGTCCCATTGTGCTAGGTGCCCTGTAACACTAGCTGCGGTGTCATTGTGCACCCCCTTGGCACATGACCACCCAACACTTCAGCTAGCAAGCAGACGGCCGCTTTGATAGCGGACATCTGTTCTCGAGTCCCAACACTTGCCCGAGGCAAGCATTGACTAGAGGAGTGCAGAGGGAGGTGAGACATGTCAGCCTCACCTCTCTCTGCATTCCTCTTTCTCTTTGCAATTCTCATGCTGTCCTTTACTACCCTGTTGCTCTATGCCAGTGGTTGTCAGATTGCTAGATAAAGGGTGTCTCAACTGTGGCCCCTAACATTCCCAATAGGCCAAAAATTTCCCTTAAAATTCCATGTACATTCCATATGTAATGCTATAGAA